ATTATATCTATCTTGTTACTTGAAACTAAGTTAATATATTACAAATAAGGTTGTTTAACAGTATAGCTACTTCTTCGCAATGTGACATATATTGGACAAACAATTAAAAATAGAATAAATAAATATTTCGGTCATAAAAAAAAAACAAGTTCCCCTTTGTCATATTTAGTCATAGTAATATTGAATAGTCATAATTATAATTTTGTATCGAAATTATAATTATAATTTCAGTTAGCAAGAAGTAAAAACTATACACCAAAACATCATATAATAAAAATTAAAATTAAAAAAATAGCAACATGTCCTTAACAAACAAAACGAAATGATTTTCTGATAGTTACCTCTCTATATTAGACAGATTATCTCCTTCTCAAAACAATTACTCTCTTTGTTTTTCCCTCTTCACAAATTTACCACTTCTACCTTCCATTTCTTCTGTTCGTTCGAATGCTTATGGATAAGTTTTGTCATTTAACTGTACATCATAATATTATCAACTGTTTAATTTATTAAAAAGCCGCCTGTCGCAATTAATAATTTTCACATAACTTTAGTCATGGAATAATATTACAAATATTGTAATTCTGCTGCTTCTCATCAGATATGTTTTTATTTAATAAGAAAAAGAATATTATATAAGAATAAATGTAAAGAAGTTTGATATAATTTGTACATTTGAATGTGCACATGCACATGATTCAAAACTAAATTATACATACAGTTCAAATAATTATTAGGTGTACAAATTAATTCTCGGCACCTACCTTTCAGCGACCTCAGAACCCGTTTAAATTCAACTTCCCCCCTCTGTAGTCATTTTGAAATGCCATCTTTTAGCTTTAAAATGAGGTACAATATTTGATCTTCCTGTGAACATAATCTGAAAAATCAGCAGTAAACATAATGTCGTTCGAAAAACACATTTGAGGCATTACCTTTTCTTTTTGCGTTTCAACTTAAAAAAAAATGCGGTTGAGGCAAAAGAATAGTATATTGTGCAACGAGGGAGCAAAATAGGCGTTTTCCGACGAGTGCGCGTTTGACGCCCGAGCGAAGCGAGGGCTGCAATTCGCACTCGTCGGTAAACACCTGTGCTCCCGCGATGCACATACTATTTTTTCACACTCTGAGCGCAAAATTATACTATTTTTGCTCCATATATTGCGGGAGCAAAATATCACTTTCTCTCCCGAGGGAGCAAAATAGCAATTTCGCTCCCTCTGTACTATTTTTCTCCCTAGGGAGAGAAAGTGCTATTTTGCTCCCGCAATATAGGGAGCAAAATTAGTATTTTGCGCTCAGAGTATGAAAAATGATTTATTCGGCTTTAGGCGAGAATGCTGTATCGTATAGTACGTGTAAAAAATAGTTCCAGTTTTGAGAGGAAAATTTCGACCTTGAGGATCATAAACGCCTTGGTCAATCAAAAAAGAGAAAAACGTGGAGTTGGAGGAAATTTTGAACGAGAATTCTTACCAAACACAATTAGAACTTGCAAATACGTTTGAAGTAACTCAGCAAGACACGTTTCCTATCGCCTAAAACAGCTGGGGAGGATTTGCGAGGAATCCCGATGCGTCCGTCATGAGCTCACTCCCGAAAACACAAGCAGATGCCACGATACTGCTCTCTGCTTTCTCTCTAGGTTCAAGAAAAAGAATTTTTTGCACAAAATTGTCACTTGTGATGAAAAGTGGATATTGTACGAGAAATACTAAGAGGCGAATATCAGGGATCCGTCCAGATGGGCGGTCAACGAGTATCGCAAAACCGAACATCCATGCAAAAAAGGTATTGCTACGCATTTGATGAGATCAAAAGGACGTGATCAATAACAATTGATTCCTGTGTTCAAATGATGTTCTTGAAGAAAAAAGACCATTTAGTGAAAGGTGATACTACTGCAGGATAACGCCCGGCCGGCCCGGCCCCATATAGCAATTAAAAAACACTCTGGAAATCATCTGCGACTTAGGTTGGGAAATTTTCCCTCATGCGGCATATTTCACAAAACTTTATTGTAAATTATCAATTTCTATTGTTGTAAACAATAATATCACACAAAAAAATAAATAAAGTGATTTTTAAACATCTTATTATTAGGTACAGATTACTTTTTATATTCAAATTAATTACACGTATAGATCATCATATCTTAAAATTGGCGTGTCACGCTTTTTTGAAGCCTCTTTTCGTTGAGGCTATTGGTATTCTCTGATTTTGATGGTTCAAAAAAAAAAAAAAAATCGCACGCGTAGCGCTCCGAGAAGTTGGCACCCCTAAATGCGAATATTGGTAATATCATTATTGCATTCGTTTGGCCACTGTTTGTCCACGTTTGTCCACTCGTTACTTTCATTGGTCCATCCTCCAAAAAAAAGTATTACACAAAAGAAAATTGTAACTCCCCCAAGTGATTATTTTACACTATTACGAAAAATATATTAAACATAGGGTGGACAAACGAAAATAATGGGTGGACAAACGTGGATAAACAGTGGACAAACGAATGCAATAATGATTTTACCAATATTCGCATTTAAGATGCCAACTTCACAAAGCAGCTCTGTGAAGTTGGATTCTCTAAATGCGAATAGTGGTAATATCATTATTACATTCGTTTGTCCACTGTTTGTCCACGTTTGTCCACCCGTTATTTTCATTTGTCCATCCTTCAAAAAAAAGTTATACACAAAAAAAAATTGTAACACCCCCAAGTGGTTATTTTACACTATTACGAAAAATATAATAAACATAGGGTGGACAAACGAAAATAATGGGTGGACAAACGTGGATAAACAGTGGACAAACGAATGCAATAATGATTTTACCAATATTCGCATTTAAGGTGCCAACTTCACAAAGCTGCTTTGAGAAGTTGGAACTTCTAAATGCGAATACTGGTAAAATCATTATTGCATTTGTTTGTCCACTGTTTGTCCACGTTTGTCCACCCTCCAAAAAAAAGTTATACACAAAAAAAATTGTAACATCCCCAGTGGTTATTTTACACTATTACGAAAAATATAATAAACATAGGGTGGACAAACGAAAATAATGGGTGGACAAACGTGGACAAACAGTAAACAAACGAATGCAACAATGATTTTACCAATATTCGCATTTAAGGTGCCAACTTCACAAAGCTGCTTTGAGAAGTTGGAACCTCTAAATGCGAATATTGGTAAAATCATTATTGCATTCGTTTGTCCACTGTTTGTCCACGTTTGTCCACCCATTATTTTTATTTGTCCATCCTCAAAAAATAAGTTATACACAAAAAAAGATTGTAACATCCCCAAGTTATTATTTTTCGAAGTTCAAAAAAGTGATTATTTTTCGAGTTCGTATCGATTGCTTGGAAATTCATTTTACTAAAGTAATGATTTTTTCGAAAAAATACGAATGAAAAATGTCAAAAAAAAACGAAGAACAACTGAATAAGATTAAAAGAAGACGAAAATCATCATCTTCATGTCTATTTCAAAAAGCGGGTAAAAATAAAAAAATAAGAAAAATACGAAAATCAATAATTTAAAATGAAGACAATTAATTAAAACTAAAAAAAGGAAAAAACATATGATAATCTCATAAATTAGACAAATCCGGAAAAAATTTTCAAGGATGTATAAATGCTTAAATTTTTTGAAAAATTAAGTAAAGGAAGAACCTACGTTGTAATTTTAGTGGGATTAACAAACCAGTTTGGACTTTTCGAGATTTGTTTGTGTATCCCCTACAATTCTGAATCGCGCGCGTAGCGCGCGCAGGAAAAGGCTAGTATCTTAATATTGGCGTGTCACGCTTTTTTGAAGCCTCTTTTCGTTGAGGCTGTTGGAATTCTCTGATTTTGATGTGGTTTCGTATTCGGGGATTTTCGGAGTCGATTATTTCGAATCTGTACTCAAAAATTGAAAATTCGAAATAGTGGATCCAATATGGCGGACGTAAAATTAACGTAAATCCTAAAGATTGTTCGATTTTGGTGAAATTAGGTTTATTGGTGATTTAGGGGACGTTCGTTACGAATCCGTACTCAAAAATTGAAAGATTGAAATAGCTGATCTAATATGGCGGACGGAAATGTTACGGAAATCCTAAAGATTTTTCAATTTTGATGAAATTTGGTATATTGGTTATTTAGGGAGCGTTCGATACGAATCTTTACTCAAAAATTGAAAGTTTGAAATAGTTAATCCAATATGACAGACGGAAATGTTACGGAAATCCTTAAGATTCTTCGATTTTGTTGAAATTTGGTTACAGGTGGTTTTTGGGGACGTTCGTTACGAATCCGTATTTAAAAATTGAAAATTCAAAATGGCGTTTCGATTCAGTTTTCTAAAATCTGTTTTCGTTAACCTGGCAGATGGAATATAAGAGGGATTTTGGTTTTAGTGTGTGTTTTTGAAGTAGAATTTAAATTAGCAAAAAAAAGCCCTTCAAGAATATGTACTTGATTTTTCATTTGCTGCTATTTTTCTTTGTGGCTGTGCCAACTTTAGTCTTAAGTCAGCACAGCCACACTGTGGATCGAATCCTTCGACGTAAACGATGAGCAAAATATCGGATTCTGGATATTCTTAGAGCAAATAATTCTAGAAACATTTTGAGACCAAAATGATTCCGGCAATTGATTGCTTTAATGTACTTTACTCTTGTACGCGACTCAGCACAGCCACACTATGGGTCGAATTTTTCGACGTAAACGATGAGCAAAATATCGGATTCTGGATATTCTTAGAGCAAATAATTCTAGAAACATTTTGAGACCAAAATGATCCCGGCAATTGATTGCTTTAATGTACTTTACTCTTGTACGCGATCCAGCACAGCCACACTGTGGGTCGAATTTTTCGACATAAACGGTGAATAAAAAAATAAACTAAATATTGTTTATCAAAATGGTAGAATTAATGTGGCGATCGAAAACAATAATGAAATTCTAAAGGTTTTCAAATTTCAGGGAAATTTTATATTAGTAGGAATTAGAGGAGTTGTTGATTTCAAAACAAGTTTCAAAGAAACATAATTCATAATATTTAAAAAGAGTATAATAGACCATCGCGCGCGTAGCACGCGCAAGGAATGTGCTAGTTTATGTAAAAATTGATTTTAGAATAAGAATTAAGTTAATAATGTAATTTGTTATTGTTAATTGCATTTATCATAAAATATTATAATAACCAAATTAGTTGCCTCTTTATTCTAAACGTATAATTTTTTATTACATTTTTAAAGTTACTTTAGAAATAAATCTAATCGTTATATTATATCTAATAAACGAAAACCTTAATTGTTATAAACAATTTGATTAACAGATGTTTTACTTTTATAGACAATATCCTTCATCACGAGTAATTATATACAGTGTTATCTTTACATTTGCACTTGTGCCTCTATTAATAATGTTGTGAAGGTGACGTGATAGCATACTTGTATTATCTTAGGATATGACTATGAATACATGGTTAATAAGATAATCTTAAGTCTTATACTTATTTAAAATAAGACATGTTTCTGAAACACAATAAAGCAATCCTAAATAAGATATAGATGTTGTCTTAAAATAAAACTTAAGATAGTCTTTAAAATTAGAAAGAATTATATATACAGGCCTTTAATGTTTTGAAATCTTTTCTTAAGGCCCGTATTCATTGTCAGACCTTATACTTTATAAGGCTTCCTTAAATTTATCTTTAGATGCTCGGTAGCCAATAAAATAATTCGTACAGCATCTGAAGATAAACTTAAGGAAGCCTTAAATATAAGGCCTGATTATGAATACGGGCATAAGTTCTCTGTTGACAACTTCGCGAAGGTCACCTTATGTGGCAATATATATCAAATAAGATGACCTTATATGACTTCATAGGTCGGTATTTACAGTCCGTTCTTATTTCACGACTGTCTTAAGTAATATCTTAAAATACTAATACAGCTTTCTATTAATTCGTAACAACTTAAAATAGTATTTAGGTTGGTCTTAAATATAAGCATCAACTATGAAATGGTTAATAAGATAATTTTAAACTTATACTTCTTAAGACAAGTCACGTATACAGATTTTGATTAAGTTTTTGATTATTCTCGACTATGTATCTGTATAGAGAGTGTCTTAAAACGAAACTTATTAAGGTGGTCTTAAATATAAGACCTGATCATTAATATTAACCTATGATTGATTTATATATGATATCTTAAGGCTGTACCTAAAGTACATAGTCTTAAATAAGAATCTACGAATACTGACCTATGAATATCAATCCATGATCGGTTCATAGTTTGTTCTTATTTTAAGACAAACTTAAAAGTAATGTCTTAAGATACGGTTCTGTATTTGTAAGTTTTGTAATTGGTTTATGACATTTTAAGACTGTATTTAAGACGACCTCTCTTAAACAAAAGAAGCCACTATGAGTATAATTTATGACCCATTTTTTAATACAATTTTCTCGCTACTGCTTTGTAGATCTCACAACTTATAATCCAACTTTTGTATTTATTTAAATATTTATGTACTCTCTTTTTAGACATTTTTAATTCAATATTTACGATATACTTTTTGTTAGCGAAGACTACCAAAACCGTAAATATTTGCGATTACTGACTGACAGTTGCAATTACTAATTGCAATATATCAATGTAATATTTTAACAATGAGTGTTAATTTATACTCTGTGCTTCGACATTGGCTTACATTGGTCCTCCTTTTTTACTTATTTTTAAAACACTTTATTTTAATTTGATTGTTGCTTAGTCTCGATGTTATAGACTAATTACAAAGTCGTATATTATTCTTAATAAGACAATCTTGAAATAAGACCGGATAATGAATATCAACCTGTGCACACGAATTGTAAGATACCAGTATATATGATTAGCAGTGCGCAGAGATAAATAAAATTTGTATAAAAAATAAATATACATATATTTACATACATAAAAGATAAATTATTTCATAAAATTTGTAAATGATATCACATTATCGTACGTGTTATTTTTTGATAACTTCTTGACCCTTTATGATGAGTTTACAACATATTTCATCGCAATGCACTCTTTGTATATATCAGTTAATATATGTTTCACTGTTTCGCAATGTTAGAATTCTACTAAGAAACCTGTTAAAGCTGATAGCCACGCCGTTCGAAGCATCAGTTCTTCCGTGTCACCGGACGAATAAAGGACAAACTGAATCATTTTAAATGAAAGTTTATTAATTGTCCGTATTTTTAAATTTTTAATGACGATGTACAAGCAAACAAGTCAGCAAATTTTTAACGTCGAGAAAATAGAAAATAGGGACTTATCTCTTAGCAACTCAGCTCCAGATAAGGTAACTAAAATTATATATTTACTTTTAGTATCACTCGATGTATTACTAAAAAGGATCCAAAATAAGGATTGAAACGTATTTAATTATAATTGTTTTACATAATAATAATTGATTCTAAGGCTTGTTTAAGTTGCAATTTGATTCATTCACAAAGGCCTACTGAAATTCTAATTGTGTAATTAAAATTATTATTAGGAAATAATAAAACAAGATACATTATTATTTCCTATAGTATTCTTTTTAAAATAAAATATTAATTTGTTAGAGATATTTATTTTTTATTATATAATAGATGAATATTTTTGGATATTTTCTGGACCAAATGATCGAGGGGATAACCACTTGATGTAATCGTGGGATAGAGTTCCTGAAATCAAAATAAGATTGATACGAAATCCTTATGTATAATTCGATAATTACATATGCAATTACAAGGAATAACTGTTTAATATCGCAGATATAATCGTTTATTTTACTAAATAACTTCATATATATAGTGAAAAAAATTATTTTTCATCAGATGAAATCGTATGAAATCAAATAAAATCATGTAATCTGTGGGACAATATTTCAACTAGTGGTTATCCCCTCGCAAATGATAGGGAATCGTTCACAGGATGAAAAGCACAATCAAACAGTTATACTTAAAAATAATAATGTAACCTATAATATAATGTAACTACAAATAGTAATGTAACAAATAAAAATGTAAATAGAAAAACGATATGTAATAACAAAAGTATTATGTTATTTCTATACCATACTGTTATACACTATTTGAAATATACCTACAATGGTTTAAATATAGGAACAATTTATATTAATTCAGTTTATAAAAATAACAATATAAATTTATAGAGAAATAATATAAACTTATAAACATATTTATAATGTATGATTAAAAATGTATAGTTTAAAAATACCATGATTTTATATTATTGATAAATACAGAGAATCTATTATTTAATACGTATCAAAAATATGTTATATTTTTAAATAATATACTATATGGTGTTTTTAATTGTAAATTGTATTAATATGAAATTAATACAATTTTAATAAATGATTTTAATAAAACATTTAATAAAACTTCACTAAAATATTTTCTAATTAACGTTTTCTAAAAGTACAATAACTTTTTCTAAAATAAATTATACAATTTTGACAACATTAAGACTTTATTATTTAAATTAGATGATCATATAAATTAGCTGACTATAATTATTTAATTATATTAAACATTATGAGCAATGCTTACAACTTTGTGTATGTTTTGTGTAAACAGATATACAAAATTTTAAAGGGCAAACAACAATTTAATTTTTATTCAATACATGTATCATCAAGATTTAAATATAAAATATACAATCAAATATAATAAAAGTTAGTTTTCATTTGTTGGATGTACTCAGAGAGAGAAATTACGTTATTAATCAAACAGAACTTTCAGTGTTACGTACTTTAAAATATAATTTTAACAATAAAATTATACAATATTTTACAACGATAATAAAAATATCAAAAATTTTTTTTTAGATTTTCTTAATGTAATAATTATTTCCTTATACATACACATAATTTATACATGCCAGTGAAACCATTTTTTATTCCAAGCAAATTACACAGAGAAATCGGCCTCGATTTCCAAACTATCCTACATAATCGAAATGATGCAAAACCTTTCACGAATTACAGTATACAAAACTTTATGTTTATTTTTTATAACAAAAAGTTTAATCGTCCATAAAAAGTGTTCTTGTTGCTTTTATGATATGTCATATCATTTTTATGTTTATAAAAACATTTATAGATATATAAAAAAATCATTATGACGCAAAAATCTTTACGTCAGGATTTCCAATTAACAGTCGATCAGATTTTAAAACAGGAGGGGGATTTCTTGCAATCATATATATATAGAAATATCGCTCAACCATCATTTTAATTCGTTAGTTTACGTTATACAGTTTAATTATCGCAAGTCGTGAATATTCGAATTTAAAAACCGCCATAATTTATTCGTAAAATGACAATTGTAATGGTACCAATGGTATGTGTTTTTTAATAAACAAAATTGTTAATTTTAAATTTATGTAAACTTTTACATATTGTGTGTGAAAGTATTTGGAAAACATTTATATCATGTTTGTCTATTTTCATGAGAATATTTAATAAATAAAGTATTAGCTGTAAATACTATAATACTAGCTACAAATATCACAAAATAACTCCTTTAAAATAATAACCATCAAAATATTTAAAAATCTTGAAATATCAAAACATACTAAAACGTTGTCTTTTAACGGATAAAGTTATTAAAAAATTCTTAGAAAAGAAAAATTTATTCAAAGTTTTATTTAATGCGTTTATAATTAATATTGAATATAGTGTCAACCAAAATTAATCCATGGCGGAAATTATATCAAGGAAGACAGAGATTCGATTAAAAGCTTCACTTGCTTAATTTTTTCTCCGAAGGAAGAAGATGAAGTTGGATCGCTAGGAAAATATCTTCAGCTTTTCGTCGTAAGTGAAACTATATTGATCAAAGAATATATGTATATATAAATTTGAAAGATACATATAAGTTAAGGACACACATTATTTTAGAAACACAAAGTGAATCTATTGCACATTGAATCCAGAAGTTCTCTTCGAAGACCAAATAATTATGAATTTATGGTAGACTGTGCACCAGGTGGTAATATAACTTCTGTAATTGAAGCTTTACAAAATCAATGCAGCTACTTTTCGATAATCTCTAGGTAAGAGATTTTAACATTTATTTAAAAATTAATTGTAATATGCTTTTCAATTTTTCTAATAATCTTGTTATAAATAGTAATATTGTTACATTATTTTTTATTAATTCCGCTTTATTTACTAATTTTTATTATTAACCATTTTACTACAATTATTTAAAAAATTTGATTAAATTAATATTAAAATTTATTATTTTATTTCATATTATTTTATATCATTCTTAGATTTCCTTTTTTTTTAGTTAAAGTTCTATCTATTTATTTGTAAATATCTTCAACAATATACCACAAACAATATAACTCTGGAATGTTATCTCAAATTAGAAATAATTTTATTCTTGTTAGAATGAAAAGTATTTACATGTTTAAGCATTTATATTATAATATTATTTTATAACAATTTTATTAAAAATATTTCAGGTAAAAGTTATTAATTTTAAATGTAAATTATGAAAATAATTAATTTTAACTATAAGTTAAGAATTATAAAATTACATTAATGTGTTTGAAATTCTCATATTAATATTAAACCGAAAGTTCACTTGATGAGTAAAACATAGTTCACCATTTATTCTTCTTTATCTACTAATTTTTATTATGATGCCTTTATTGTTATAATATATGAAATTATATATTATTACTTTTATTAATTTACTCTTTTCATATCATCAATTCATATTTATGCGTTTTATTCCATCAGATATATTTATATTCATCTGGCATATATAAATACTTCAATATTTACGTAAAAAAATAATATCATATATTATATACATAATAAAATTGAAAGTTAATTATATTATAACTTCTTTTTAGTAATCACAAAGACAATATAAATACAGTACCATGGTTTCCAAGAAGAATACGCGACCTCGATAAGTTTGCTAATCAAATTTTGTCTTATGGTGCCGAACTTGACAGCGATCATCCAGGTTTTACCGATCCTGTATACAGGAAAAGAAGAAAATTTTTTGCAGATATTGCTTATCATTACAAACAGTAAGTCTCAAAAAACACATAAAAGTCAACAAAAAATTAAAATGACATTAAAATAAATTTATTTTGATGCTTAAAGTCAATAAAAATGTTAAATTTTGTAACCAAAAATCATCAATTTGACATAAAAATACATCATTTTGACTTTTTCTTGACTTGGTATATTCCTTGAGGTGGAATGAATATATCTGGTATTGTAAAAATATGTATGTATTATTATATACGTATATATTATATTATATGTATATATATTATATATTGATCAGAATTATTAGAACTTATGTCAATTAAAGAGAAAAATATTGTATGTAATATGTGCACTGTATTTTAGCGGACAACCTATTCCAAAAGTGGAATATACGCCTGAAGAAATAGCTACGTGGGGTGTAATTTTTAAAAACTTAACCAAGCTTTATTCAAAGTATGCGTGCAGAGAACATAATCACGTTTTTCCGCTACTTATCGAAAACTGCGGCTATCGAGAAGACAATATACCCCAATTAGAAGATATATCCAATTTTTTGAAAGGTAACATTTTATTAACATTTTTTAATGTATACTGTGTGTAGGAAAGAAAGTTTTATAGTTAATTTAACTCTTGAAAACCATTACAATGTCATATTTTCTTTTCCATAATATGCTTCTTCTATTGCTTATAACTAATTTTATTATGAAAAATACGTACGTTTACTTAGTACTGTTATATTTCTTAATAGTTCCAATTAAAAAAAAATTTACAATATGTTCATTTTTATGAAAGTTATAAAAAATTAAATTATATATGCCATATATTAATGTGTTATTCCCGTAGTAAGACGTTTAAGAATTTTGAAATTCAATATCAATGCCAGATGGCATAAATTCTGTTTGGGTCCAAGAATCAACTTTTCTTTCTCTTATCTATACCATAGAAAAGATAAATTGTTAATTAGCTGATAGTGTAATTTGATGCTATTATTTTATTTTCATGATCTGGTTTCTATCTTTTAATCAATTTCTTCAGATTCTACCGGCTTTACACTTCGCCCAGTGGCAGGATTATTATCTTCACGTGATTTTCTGGCTGGATTAGCCTTCAGAGTATTTCATAGCACGCAATATATACGACATAGCAGTAAACCATTTTATACGCCGGAACCGGACGTGTGCCATGAGATTTTAGGCCATGTACCACTCCTCGCTGATCCATCTTTTGCACAGTTTTCACAAGTTATCGGTTTGGCATCCCTTGGTGCTCCAGATGAATATATAGACAAACTTGCAACGGTATTAAAATATCCTGCTTTTTCAAATTTAAAACATGTAATGTTGTAAAGCTATAAAATATATTAGTCGTAATAATCCGATTATGTTGTAAAAATGTTATGATAATCCAAAAAAAAAAAAAAAAACAACTACTATTCGGCTTGTAATAATACTAAAATTCGTTAATAATAGAAAGATCGTTAATAAAAGAAGTAAAAATAAAAAAAATGTTACTTAAAAAATAAAAAATAAATAGTAGTAAATTTATTTAAAATACAATTTATTTTTGTAGTGCTTCTGGTTTACGGTAGAATACGGAATATGTCGACAAAACGGAGAATTAAAGGCATACGGTGCTGGTTTACTCTCATCTTTTGGCGAATTGGAATATTGTTTGAGCGGCAAGCCAGAGCTTCGACCTTTTGATCCACCGAAGACAGCATTGCAAAAATATCCGATAACAGAATATCAACCAGTATATTTTGTTGCTGAAGACTTTGAAGACGCCAAGCAAAAGATGATGTAAGTATAAGAACAATAAATAAATGTGTCGCAGATTCGTTCTTATCTATCTCGCCCCAGGTCAATGCTTATTTTCTTTCTATTGTATAGAGCGCAACATTGGCAATACAAAGATGTAATGTACTTTGTGCAAGATATAACGCGCTTTACGCATGAAATACGTTACATCCTTGTTTACTTGCAGTTATCATGCAAATTTAAAATTTATGTAATAGTTCCAACTGAACACAAAAGGAATCGTTAATATTAAATAAAATAATAAAATATACATTTTTTAATTTTAGAAAATTTGCTCAAAACATACCGAGGAAATTCGGAGTGAGATACGATGCTTATACGCAGAGTATCAGCATTATCGATAGTAAACAACAAGTGGAAGCTCTTGTAAATAACGTGAACCAAGAAGTACAAATTTTGACGGATGCGTTAAGAAAACTGCACCCTTAATTTTATTTTACGTTATTTCTACATAATATGTTTTAAAATAATCAGTATCACGATTTATTTATAATTTTTAATAAAATACTTATTATATAAAAGGATCATTTTTGTATAAAGAAAAAATTTTAAACACTTTGCTAAATTTTTTAATTTCAATATATTAAATAAATATTTTACATCATATACATCTTTATAATTTTTGTTAAACATAATAAATTTATATTATGACAAAATAAAACAAAAAATATATAATTAGGAACGATAAAATCTTGTAGAGAGACACTTCTTAAATTCTTAAACAGTAATTATTTAATACACTTATTTTAAATGATATATTATACGTGATACGAAATTGTCAATAATACGATATTGTCAACTATGTAATACAAAATTGTCAACGTTACCAAAATTATTTATATCGCAATCAATATTAATTTTGTATTTCATATTCTACGCAGTCGTTTGACGAATATTGTCATCACATCAATATGGACATATGGTCACATCGTAATTTGATCGATTTTACTGTTTTTTGTTCTATAATGTATATTAACGATATTTCTATCGAGCAACAATTATGAAATGTTATAGCAATCTAAGATACATCTATATTAAAATACATCAGATATGTATGAAAATGATAACATTATACATGTACATACCACAAAATATATATTATTTTTATCGCCATTAATATTCGAATATATGAATACACACCCTGTTCCGGAAAATATGGAGGTTGGTCCCTTCTCCATTGACTTCGATAACATTTATTACAAAAATAAATTTAATAAATATACCTACATAAACGTGATGTGTTATTTCAATAGAAGCTATTATATCACTTGTTGTAAAAGTTTACAATTGTTTACCACAAAACAATCAAATTATTCTCGAAAGATTATCAAAATTTATATAAAAATTTTACTTTGAATATAATATACTTTTACTTTTTTAATAGTATTCTTCTTTATTTAATAAGTGCGTAGATTCTTTTAGTATATGAGTTCAATATTTCTTTTAGATATTATCGAAAATTTTTGTTATTTGTAATTTTATCACTATACATATATATTATAATTAACTCGATCACTATCTTTTAAATATTTAATTAATAAACCTTATTTTTCCAAAACAATTTTTAAATTAAAAAAATCTCTTTTTCTGTATAAAAACATAAATTATATTTTTAATATATAAAAGAGAAGCAAATAAAGCAACAATTATTAAGTGTATAAAATATTGATACCGTTGTAATTTGAAAAGAAAATTATTAAATTTTAAATTAAAAAAAAAATTCTACTTAACGTGACAATTATTATTCCTTATCAAAAATTAACTCTTTTAAAAATCATTTTATAATAAACGTAATTAATCTTTATAAATTTTGATTTTATGCAAAATATATATTTGCACAATAATTATATGTATATATTTTGCTGTATATTGCCTCATATTTTTTTTTGAAAATAGAATTAATAGATAGTTCGTATTATATATAACTCTTTATAGATTGCGTTGCACAAGAAAAATAATGATACAATTATAAACAAATATACAACAATGATAGAATGATAAATAACCAATATATGATAAATTGCACACATACTAAAATACCAAAATTCTGTTACATTTTATGTAATATTTGGCTACCGCTATCACAATGCTTATTATAACTCTCTTTTTACAATTAGAATTTTTTTATACACATGCAACGTACATTTTTTTACAAAAATTGTATCTTCCTCTAGAATAAAAAAGGTAAAACAAAAAAATTATGTTCATATTTCTTTTTAATACATTAGTTATAGATATTATCTGCTATTATTTTCATGGCAATAAATGAACAAAACAGACTTTTTCAAAAATAAAAAAATTTTTTTTTAATTCTAAATTTAAAAATAAAGAAAGTTTTTGTTTATACAATTAATATATAAAAAATAAAGTTTTTTAAAGCTGTTTTTAATTTTGCGTTGATCTCTGTTGTTGATTTGAGGACACTTCCATGTTACTGTAGATCATCTCGGCCTGCTGTAAACAGATCTGGAAAGGCACGAGATTGGAATTGCTACTTTCCTGCTGTGAACTCCCCTGTTGTTGTTGTTGTTGTGATTGTTGTTGCTGCTGTTGCTGCTGCTGCTGTTGCTGCGGCTGATGTTGCAATTGCGAATGCTGCTGTTGGGTTTGAATTATAGCGCTTACATTGCCATGCGTCGAGCCTGGTGACGGATTCACTTGTAAAGAATGCGAAAATAATTCCGTAGGCACTATAGGCACTGGCACGGTAATTGGTATAGGAAGCACATTTACGCCTTGTACGCTATTAGATGTGGGTAACTGCACGTTAGTATTATTGGTACTACATCGATTTGCTTGTTGACACGGATTTGATGGATTATATGGTATACCAGCCTGAAATATAAATATCAATGAGCTTTTTTTAGCAGATAGTATGTAAATTAATAGCTATAATTTTAATATTTATAACAAATAAAAGTTTAGAAAGTAAAATACATAAAAAGCATATAAATATACAGATAGAACCATATCTTAAATAAAAAAATCAGTCCAAAAATTAAAGAGAGAGAGAGAGAGAGAGAGAGAGAGAGAGAGAGAGATAAAGAAATATTATTTCTTATATTTAAAATATAAATATATTTTAAAAATATACAAACATTTAATAATGGCGTAAGAATCCCATATCGAGCAATAAACAATTGTTCTGAAACCCTTCTTAATTCTTCTTGCTGATGAACAATTAATTGTTGTAGCTCTTCATGTTTCCGTTGTAATTCGTCCTGTATTTGGTTTTGCGAAGGAGTCATTACTATACCTTGCTGATGCAACATCTAAAAATATCAAAAATATAGTAAAATCAAAATTTTCATAAACATAATTAAACTGTTTGTAAGTATAATACAAAAGTATTGTAAATATTATAGATCAAACTTTATATATAATAATTATAAATTTATATGATTAAAATAACTTTATTACGCGTTTAAAACAAACAAATTTAAAAAAAAATACATGTACATGAATTACACAAGATTTAAAAAATCCCAGTTTGTTCCCAATTTATTAAACATAAATCAAAATACGATTATATAATAAAAATTACATTTCAAATGTGATTTAAAAAAAACAGAAAATAGTTTATATATTTTAAATTAAATTGATATCCGCTCAAATAAATTTCAAATTAAACTTAATCTACCTCCCAGGTCAAAAACTAATTGAGCTATACTAGTTGTTAGAAATATATATAAATTTATTATTAATAATTACATCGGTATATACGTTTATATATTTTATTATAAACTATTATATAAACTATAGTTATGCAATAAAATAAATGTGCAAATATTCTTCTTGTTCTTCTTCTTACGCTAGGCCAAATCTGGCCTATGTTAGCAAATATACAATTAATCCTGAATAATGCGAATTATTTATTTGTTTTTTTTTTTTACCTCATGAGTAGGTACAGTTGACAGAATTGGAGTGGCAGGCGTTGCAAATCCAGTTGTAACGACCGATTGCAGATTAACCGTTGCGTATTGTGTGGGATCCATAAAATTAATACATGACTGATTAACAGCAAGTTGATGTTCAGGTTGTGACTGTTGCTGTAGCTGTTGCTGCTGCTGCTGCTGCGCTTGTTGCTGTTGCCTACTGTCAACCGAAGCTATTGGTTTCGATACAACAGAACTGCTTGCAGAAGCTGCGTTTGATCCATGCGTTATTTGTGATTGTGGTGAACTTCGTAATGAGACGGATACTGAGGACGTATTGGAACCGTCACCGCGTTGTCGGAGATTAGAAGCGACTGTCATCGACTTCGATGTCCTTGATGATTTGTTTGACCATTGCGTTAATGATGTTTGACAAGATGCTATTACCTGTATATGCGTGAAGATATAAACTAAAGGTAAATATATATACACGCAAATATAATAAAGTTTAAATCATATTAATATTATAGATATTTGCATACATAAAGAAGGATCCTTTTTCTTTCTCCTGTTTCTCTCTTTCTAAAAAATTTTTTTAATTTTTATTACTTTATATATTGTATTATTATTTTTTTGTTTTAAATTAAATAGTTATTAATATATCATACTTGTTAATTAAAAAATTTGTCGGAAGAAGAAGTATAATAGATATATATCTATATTAACGTCTGCTTGTTGCTTTCTTCTTTATTACGTACTTTTGATTCTCTATTGCATTGTTTAATTTTATCTATTTACTTCTCCTATAACAAATATTTTGTCCGCAATATTTTTTTCAACATTAATAAAATTACTTAGACAAAGCACATTCAGGACTGAAATATAAAACTTCTTTAGGACAGCTTAACATAAATTCTCATCTTAAAGATGTTTTATGTACCAATATTGAATGTGCATATTATCTGGATATATTCAAAATAAATATATACGTAAATTAAATTAATCACGTGATATTAATCGATATAAATTTTTAAAAAATAATAGATATCTATTAAACATTCGTTCTGCATAAATCTTGTATAATTTGAATAACAAACTTTTTTTCTAATAATGATATAATATCATTGCTTTAATAAAGCTACAATGAGAACAATTTCTGGTTGAAAATGAACAAATAAATATCTGACTGTATCAATTGAAATTCTAATTAAGATAATGAAATATCTAATTGTGATAAATATCATTTTTTATATGATTAAAATCTACTGATTCGTTCATTTTTAACTAGAAATTTTTTCTCATAATCAGTGTCGTAAAATCATTCTGTAGCGTCCATTCCTCGCGTTTATACAAACGCATTTATTTTGTGCTGTGCGACTAACGTCACAATAATTATGAAATTCTATAATCGCGTGTCATCTGTCGTCTTACTTGTTTTACGGGCAGTAAAACATCTTGATTTTGCGTTTTGTCATAATCCCCTAATTCCATGCGCAATTTCTTCATTACATCGACATAACTGATCACATAATGCGTGCACACGATAAATTCAGGTTTTGAATTCCATTGATTGTAGGTGATGTAGAATCTAGTTTGCAAC